CACCCTTTCAGAAGTGGAGCACAGACCAACTGAATGATCATAAAAGCAGCAGCCCCCTCTCAGTGGTGCAGGTGTTGTTACGTGTATGTAGGTCAGAGATTTGAACTTCTTCAGCGTTCTCCTTCCCCTCTTGTGGACAGGACATGGATTTAGTAAGCCACATTCTTGAGGTGGAGGACTACAATGTGGAATCTGCAATATTTGCCATCTTGCAGGTGAAGGAAGGGGAAGGAATAGGTGAGTGCACATTTTGTCACCTGGGGCTTTGGGTGACTGTGATGTTGATGTTGGGGACAGTAGCAGGAGAGGTGGGTTTGTGTGCTGACACCTCAGCCTTCTCTACTCAGGAAGGTTGTTAGTGAGGGCAACTTCAATCCAGCTTCCAAAAAACCCCAGGACTTCTGGGAAAAAGAATTGTCTGACAGTGCAACAGCTCCTGGGTAGAGCATGTCTGAGGAAAACCTCTGCTGTTGGCAGGTACTGAGGAACAGCAGGAGCCCCAGGGCAGGGAGCAAAAATCCTGCAGCGGGACACTGTGGGAAGAGAATGGAACTGGTTCAAGAATCTTTGGAAATCAGAGCTTGCATCAAGGTGAAGCAGAGAACAAGGGACAAGCTGGATCCAGGGAAGAGAACCGAACCAGCAGAAACCCAAAGGTGTGTGAGGGGTTTGGCAGCAATGTGAGCACCCTTCAATGACTGGGGGATGCCTTAGCATTGCTTATTCAGGAAGTCTCTTCTCCTTTCAGTTAGAAAGAGCTTCTGCTCACTGCATTTTGTCACTGCTGCAGCTGCGACTGCTCTGCCACAGACATTTCCTGGTGACATGCAGCACTCTTCCCAAAACAACTCGCAGTAAAGTCCTCATAAATAGTTAGGAATGTCCTCTGGCAGCTGCCTTGGTATCTGCTTGTCTCTTTTATTACTTTTCCCCAGCTGAGCAGAGCATGTGTGGTTTGAACTTTGTGTTTTCATCCTTCCCTTTCAGGTAGCCAAGAAGCACAGGAAGGAGCAGCGGCTGGAGAAGAAGAAGCGGCAGGAGGAGAGGCACCGGCAGAAGGTCCTGGCCACCAAGAGGGACAGTGCAGACACCAGGACAGAGACAGACCCAGGCAGCCACATCACCCTGGTGAAGGCCATGGCAGCCCTAAACATATGACTCAGTGCTCTGATGAGAAAAGCAAATAAAACTGATGAAGGCAAAATTCCCCCAGGAGAATTTATAGGCACCCATGTTTATCTTAAAATCCATCTCTGCTCAGATTTCCAAACACAAGAGAACTTCCTCTTCCCTTGCTTTTGGGGACGACAATTGCTCATTGATTCTGCATCAGCCTGTGAGAAGAGTTTAAACTTAACAGGAAGTAGAGACTTGGGTCTATAATCTTGGAATTAAATGAAGGTGATGACCTTTTCTTCACACAGTGGTGTCAGATTTGTTTTGGCATCTCTTGATGTGCCTGGTTTTGGTTTTTTTGTTTTCTCTTCTATTTGGTTATTCCTGGAGGAGCTTTATATTACCTTGCTGTCAGGGAAAGCTTAACAAATCTCAACTCAGGAATATCTCTGGTGGATCTTTTTTTATTTAAATTCAAATAAAGTAAGGAAACAGAGTCCCAGAATCCTTTCCAAAGCAAAGTATCAGCCAGCACTGTCTCAAACATGACATTCCTCCTTTGTTTGCCATGCAGGAATGCAGTGACAAGTTTTAGTCTCTCTTTTAGAACTGCATTGCACTGAGCTGGTTCAGAAGTGATGAATATTTGGAGAGAGATGGAGATTGCTGCATCCATGCTTGCTGAGGTTTGGAATCAGCTCCTTTAAGATCAGACCTGTTGGTGGAAAAGAACCCCCCCAGAACAGTAATCCCAGTGGACTCATGAGAATGCAGAGCTGATTCTTCCAATCTGGTAAAATGTGACAGGAACAGGCTTGAAGCTTCTGATGAGTGTTGTTACTTGGACACCTGGAATCTTTGTCCCCTTTGCCCTGTTTCAGAATTTTTGGGCTACTCCAGGGCTTTAGACCAAGTCAGGAGCTGGATAGGTATTAGTCTCCAAATGAAATCAGCATAGCCAAAGGACCAAGAGTCCTGAGAAGAATCTCCCATGCAGCAGTGATCCCTGGGAAACCTGCCTATTTCACTTCATAAATCAAGCTTTTTTCCAGGGTAGTTTTTTTTTTCATCTTAAATTCCATTTTAGTGAGGTCGCCAAGTAGGGTGTACAGCTTGACTCCTGTGATGTTTTCCACTGTAGGACTGGGAATTTGGATTGAAGTGAAAGGGCTGCGGGACTCAGCCTTTGATTTATAGCTCATGGTGTTTCAGCTCCACTCAGGTTTTTGGGCTTGTAACAAGCATTAAGCTTGAAGAAAGCACGTGCACTTACACACAGAAGACATCTCATCAGCCAGTGTCTTAGGTGAAAGGGATTTTTTAAAAGTAAGGAGCATTGCATTTGAAAAATTTGTCTGTGCTTAAAAGTTTATGTTTTTTTTTTTTACCAGACTGCCAAGAACTGGGGTAGTACTTGTTAGGGCCTGCTGCTGTTACTTGAAGAATAAAATTAAAGGAGCTCTCCTGTAAGAACTGATGGTGTAGGAATTCCTTTTTCTCTGAGACAGTCATTTTTACAGGAGTGGAAAGAGAGGTGAGTCACAGCTTAGTGAGGAGAAAGTGCAAGTTCTTTCAGGGGGTGATAAATTGTGACAGGAGGTTTGGCAAGGCAGTGCAGGTGACTGTGTCACCTGTGTCCTGCCCTGTCCTGTGTTTTGGTCTGAAAGGCAGGTGTGTTCTGCAGGTTTGAAGAGATAAAGAATTGCAGTTGTGCACTTCGAATAAGAGATTTGATCTTAATGAATTGGGATTTTGTCCTCTGGAGCCAGAGCTGATATGACATTCATTGCTGCCTGGAGCCTGAGAGCTGTGAAGGGAGTTGGTCTGGAGGTTGAGGAAGGAACTCGCACCTCACCCCATCATGTGCAGGGTGAAAGGGGAGTCTGCAACAGCAGCACCAACAGCAGAGGGAAAGACTGGCCCACAGCTCGTGGCCTCTGATACATGAACAAAATCGGGCTGAAAATGCTTTCATTTCCAAGTGTAATTTGTTTAAAATAAACTCTCAATGTGCTGGGCTCATAGATATTGACTAACCAGTGAAATTCCCTTTATCTTGCCAGAGCAGCCTTGTGTCTGCACAGCCATTCCATATCTAAAGATGTTAAAACAGATTTTTACCTGTTTCACGTTTTTCCTATTGAAATTTCCACCTTTCCAATGTATATTTTTTTTCCCTAGGGAATCTTTGTGCAGCATTCTTCACAGAACTCAGTTTATGCAGTGAATTTGCTTTGTAAACAGGTGGTGGATTTTCCTGGGAGGGGGAAGGCAGGCGAGAAAGCAGAGCAGAACAACACCGTGATTCATACATAGCGTGTGTTTACTCCTTGGTGGAGCCGAGTGCTCCGTAATCCACGGGCCAAGGACGGACAATAAGCACTGGATATTCCCCTGGGCTTTGAGGAGATGACTGTTTGTTGTTAGCAGCTGACAAATACGAGGGTGTTTTGGCTGGTGCTGCAGCAGGGTCACTGTGAGCCTCTCAAGGGCAAATACGCAGCAGGAGGATGTAGAAAGCCACTTTCCCTGCATCCTGTCTCCCACCATCATCTTCCCTGGACTTATTTTCCCAAATCCTGCCCCTGCAGGTCAGGAATTCAGTTGAAATGGAAGTTTTAAGCATTTAGGCAGGTTCTGGCTGACCTCCATAAGCATGTCTGTGTATGGGAAGGGTTTTCTGCCTGTGCTGCTCCATGTCTCTTGTCCCTACTTAGGAGCTGCCTTCTGGTTTATCTCACAGCTTTGCCACATCACCCATGGTCTCTGTGTCTGCAGAGCTTTTGGAGATGCAGAAAGGAAGTGAAATTGGGCATGAAGAATGTTCCATAATCCACTGTGGGATAAAAGGAAGATGCTTGTGCTGGTTTTGAGCTGTGGGGTGGTTCCTTGGAGCTTCCTGGGTGCAAGCATCCGCCTTAGAAGGCAGCATTGGCTCTGTCTCAGCTTCTGGAATCCTTATTGCCTGCTAAAAATGAGAAGAAATGAGTGGTTTGGAGTTAGAAAGATACCACATTTACTGTAGGAACTTGAGGTAAGGCTGTCGCTTGTAATGAAACACTTAAGAGAGTCAGGCAAGAGCCCTCAACACAGAGGTGGAAATCAAATAAATTACCCTTAAAACTCCTTTATTTTAGGCAGATCAGTTCTCCAGAGGCAGCATTACAGCTGGAGGTGCCTTCATCGAGGCCCAAGGTACAGCCAGCCCTGCCTTGTTAGAGGTAATTAGGGTTAATTTGGGGTCATGTGCAGCTGTGGTGTGGGACAAGGTGGTTGTATGGAGCTGCAGCCTGAGGAGACATCTGTCTGCAAGAAGGAGCCACCTAAGCCTCTGAGACCCCACCACTGGGCTCCCCGTGCCTTCAGTGAGTATTAATTGCTTATACAGTCATTAGGAATGGTATGGGGCAGGATTGAGGCTGAGCCCCTGGAGAGAAGCTGGGCTTGGAGCCTGCTTTGGGCTGGGGTGCAGAAGCCACTTCTCGTTGTGGGCTTTTGTTTTTCTCTGGAGCTCTTCAGATTTACTGGTTGGCTGCTAAAATGTCACTTCTGGTCATTTTTTTAGGAAAAAATGTATGCAGGAAGGAATATTTTCTTCAAAAAATCAGCCCTCAACTTCCATGCTGTTACTTTCCTCTTCCACCACTGATTCCCAAAACACAACACTGGCCACAATTTTGAAGCGTATCTTTATTTGCAGGGTTTACCTCATTTTTATGAGTTATTTAACTATGGGAAAATAGAGCTAAGGCTCTGGGGAAAGGTGCTGGACACTTTTCCAGTGCCACAGGGCTGTGCCATGTCCTGCCTGGCCCCAGGGAAGGCAGAACCCCCCAGTTCTGATGGTTTCTGTCAGGTTTGGAGCCCCAGGCTGGCAGCAGTGTTCAGCAGGAGGGCGTTTGGCCCTTGCATCTGGAATTGGGGTAGTTGTCGTAGGATTTGCGGTAGGAGCTGGCTGCCCTCTGGAAGCACTCCACCGCCTTCTTGTCGCAGGCACAGGTCTGTTTTTGGCACGAGTTCCCATTTCCTGGAAGAAAATTGGGGGGGATGGAGGTAGTGAGGGTCAGGGGGTGTTTTTTGAGCGTCCCCGCAGTCACAGCCCCTCTGTGCAGTTTGGGGTGGCTCAGGTGGTCTCGTGTCCGGGGTGTGGAGCTCCCTGGCCCTGCAGGGAGCATTCCCTTCTCTTTCTGATGTGTCTGGGGCTGTTTGCCTGGCACGTGCTTTGCTGTGCTCTGTGGAACAATGACTTCGCTCTGGGGGAGTCAGGGCAGCTGTGCCAGGATGGCAGGGGCATCTCAAACCCTTGGTGTTTGGCCTCTTGGGAAGGACCTCAGGGAAGTCTCCAAGCTCTAAACTTCACTATAATCCAGCAAATTCTTATTTGCCTAATTCCTGACACTTTCTCCTCTATTTCCACCCACTTCGCTGTGTGTGATTTCCAGGCCAGGATGATCTAAAGGGATGTGGAAGTCAAGCTCCCCGAGTGTGGGTGGCTGTGCCTCCCTGCTTAGAGCTGTGCCCCCTCCCCGCTCTCACCGCAGGTTATTTGGTTTCCTTGGAAGACGTATTTGTAGGTGGCCGTTTTGGGGCTGCAGCCGGAGGCGGCCAATTTCTTGTAGCAGCAGTCATGGGCGTGGCAGCACCTGGGGCATGAGAGGCGAGGTCAGGGCAGGGGACAGCGCGATAAAACATCACCCGCGTGCATCTTTGCTGCTGAACCCCTTCTCCGGAGGCTTTAAGGATGAGCAACACTTTTCTCATTGCTATTTCCACCCTCAGGAGCAGCAACAAGATTGCACTGGCTGTGCCCAGGGAGGTGAGGAGGGCTGGGGGCTCTGCCCTGTCCCAGGTACCTGTCGGTGGCATCCAGGGGCTGTTTGGACCCGCCCCAGCCGCAGTAGCAGCCGTAGCGGTTGTAAGCCAGCGGCGATTTCCCGGTCTTCTGCTTAATCATCACTGCAAACTGGGCCAAGTTGCAGCTGGCAAGGGCCAGTCCTAGGACTGGAGAAGGAGGGTTAAGAGCACCAGGAAAAGCAACCGTCCATCCCACAGCAAAAATGGGCGTTTCACCATCCCCACCTGGCTGTGGACAGGGTCTGGGAGCTGGTGGGGGGTACTCACAGAAGAGGAGCAGCGAGAGGAGCTTCATCCTGGCAGTGGCAGCTCCAGGGCTTGGTGAGCCCAAGGTGCTGCTGGTCACACCTTTTATGGCCGTGCACCCTCAGCAGGGCCCCTCCTCTGGAGAGCCCAAAGTGGGCAAATATTGACAATCCTCACCATACTGATCCTGCTGCTGTGCAGGTATCCTCGCACTGCTGGAGGCTATGGGATGCCTTATATGGTGGAGGTCTTGGCAGGAGGTTTTGAATGTGTGGAGCAGCCTGGGGTCGAGTCTGTGCATAGCTCTGGGTGTCAGCATTCCCAGTGCTTCCCTGAGTAAAATGAGAGAACTTGAGGGAGAACAGGAACCATGTGTCCTTGCCCGTGGCAAGGGTGGAATTAGATTGTCTGAGGAGTCCGTGATCCACTTTCTTCCTGGATTACAAGTTTTTTGATGCCTTGGCTAGAAAACACCATTCTGTGTCTTACTGTTTCCATCCTTGCCTGGGCAGGGAGAAAATGCAGCCAGTGCCAAGTATCCTGCCCTACCAACTTACCAGAGTGGATGAGATGCAGCTTTGGGAGTGGAGGAAGATCCCATGGTCTCCAGAATGGCTGTGGCTGGAGATAGAGCTGAGCAAAGGCCATGTTTGGTGGTTTTCTTGATAGTGGTGCCCAGATGTCCCCTGCATGTGGGGACGCTCCATCCCTCTCCCCATGTGTGCTGGGCACTGGTTTGTTCTCAAATACCTCATGGCACGAGGTGTGTGGTTCACTTTTGTTTATAAGCAAAATAAGGCAAGTGACAGGGAAGAAAAAATGCAGGTGATGTGTGATGGGAGTGGGGGGGAAGAGGCTGCTTGTGTCATTTGCTCAGGGAGAATCTCTGATTAAATTGGTGGTACTGAGCAGTCAGCAGATATCTTCTGGCAGAGATTGCACCTGCTTTGTGCTGCTTTTTGGGGAACCACAGCATGGCAAGCACTGAGGCAGGGGAGGAAGGAAATCCCCCCAGGCTGCTAGGGAAACTGAGGCAGGGAAGAAGGATGCAACTTGTGTGGGAAACGGAGAGAGGCTGAGAGAAGGGAACTCAGCTCAGCAAAATCTCTTCCCCCTCCCTCTGGCATGGGTGCTTTGCCTCATCAACTCTCTGGACTAATTTAAGTAGCCCCTTGGGATGGTGTTAATTGGCTAAACCAGGATTTGCCATAATTCAGGATTTTCCAAGTCCACAATCAGTTTTATCACAGGGGAATAAGGGATATTCTTGTCCATCAAATGGCTGAGCTCCACTGAAAGCCTCTCCACCCCAGCCCCTCTACCTGTGGCAGGTTTGCAGGATCCCTTCTCCAAATGGGAAATGAGCCCTCCCCAAGCCAGATGCCTCCTGGGAAGCTGTGGATTTTGTTTCATGGTATGAAAACCACAACTCTTGCAGTCCAGTTTATTGCAATGCTCTGAAGGGGGTGCAGCATCTGAGCCAAACCATCAACATTTGGAGGATTTGTATGAATGGATTTGTACAGCCGGATGTCCAAGCAGGAAAATTCATGAGTGGTTAAAATTCACCCAGAATTTACAAAGGGAGAGTGTGATTCAGTTTATCCCAGCCTGCCATCTGTCTGGGATATCCATCCTCTTGGTGAGGATTTGATCCTTGATTTATGCCCTGCAATTATCAGCTGCTGGGTGAAGGGCTCCTTCCTCATCTCCCCCAGGGTTCCACAGCAGTGATTCCCTGGTTCCTGGGTGACAGCTGGCAGAAGCATCGCTGCTTCAGGGCTACTTCCTGGTGCCATTGATTTCAGCTATGGGGCAATCCAGGCTGGGAATTGCAGCTGGGCATCAGCCCCTAAGGAAACAGTGTTTTGTTGCTTTTTCTGTGGCTTTATTTCATTGCTGAGCTTCTCTGGGGTGGTTTGGAGCCCAGAGACCTGCCGGGGTCAACACCCCAAGGCACAAAACCTGGGGATGCTGAAGTGGGGGGAAGCAGCTGCTGCCTGAGCTGCCTTTTCCTAAGGAATGTGCTCAGGGTTGTTGCAGAATTGGGCCAAAACATTCTTTTCTGGTGAGAACTCTGTTTTGCTCAGCACTGGGTGTGAGGCAAGCTCCAGGCCATGCTGTCACAGCAGAGATTTAGGGGATCACAGAGTATGCCGAGCTGGAAGGGACCCACAAGGATCATGGAAGTCCAAGCCCGGCCCTCCCACGCCATCATGCCTGCCCCCAGCCCTTCCACCAGCCTCACTTCTCCATCTCTCAGAAAAACGGGACATTTTCAGTCTGAAGGTTTAGAGCTAAGTTGGGGCAGTTCAGGGTGAGCTGTGTCACCTCTCAAGTGTCATTTTTGCTGAGTACTTCAACAGGAAACCTGTCTGAGAGGTGAGGGGTGGTCGCTGGGCTCCGCCGAGTCACTGCACGCTGGGAACCGCTGCTTTGGGCTCTCTGGTTTTATTTTGGAGCAAAGGAGGGAATTTGCTGTGAAGCAGGAAGCGGAGGGAGCGGTTAGGCTGCCAAGGGGGACGCTTCCATCTCGCCCCTCATCGGGACGAGGGGCAGGTGTCCACTCCTCCCTTGTTTTGCTGTGCTGGACATCAGATCAGCGCTGCTCCCCCTCCTCGCACGCCGTGACGCGACTTGACCGGAGGGTCCTTGTCCTCGCCTCGAAGCCAAAATGCCCCGAGGAGGAGACTGGCCAGGGCTGGGAAGCGCCGCCGGCGCCGTGCCTTCGCCATCAGCCCGGAGATGGTTTCGCAGAAAGGAGATTCTGCTTCAGCAGCGCCCGGCTCGTCCGCGGCAGCTGGCGCGGAGCTGAGCCCGGCCGCGCTGAGCCCGGCACAGCCGCGCCGCCCGCTCGCACCTGCAGGCGCCTCGCTGGCACCGCGTCCCGGAGCCTGCGGGGACCGAGAGCGCCCCTGAGACCTTCCCCGAGCGGCCCGGGAGAGGGCGGGGGTGTGGAAAGGGCCGAGCACTCACTGCAGGTGGCGATCCCTGCCCGCGGCGCAGAGAGCGGCCGGGCGGGGGCCGGGCGGCAGCGCCGCGCTGCCAGCTTGGCGTAGCAGCAGGCTCGGAGCAGGCAGCACCTGCGGGAGGAGGAGAGCCTGGGCTCGTCGGGAACCGGCCCCGGCGGCTGCTGCCCCAGCTGGCACAGGCTCTGCGAGCCGGGCGGGAGAGCCGCCAGCTCTGCTTCCCCCTGCTCTGGATCACCCAGAAGCTTCTCTGTCCTGCCCGTTCCCACGCCGAGCCTCTGCCTCCCCAGGCGAGCCCTGCCGCGGATCCTGGCTTCAGGAGCGTCCCTCTCCTCTGGTGCCACCCCACGGACCAGGCAGTTGTCACTGGCACCGCCCTACCGACTCCGGGATGGAATTAGGGGTGAACACTGCATCACTTTCCTTGCTGCCCGAAAACCCGATTCCTTCCCGCTGCTGCCAAGCACCCGGGCTGCATTTCGCAAAGTTTCAGGGGGCGCTGCTGGGGTGATGCAGAGCCCCGGGGTTACCCCGGCACCAGCGTTAGCCCTCCGGGACCGGCGTTAGCCCTCGGGGCAGCGTTGCCTGTACCGATCCACTGAAGCCCTCGAGGTGCCCCATCCCCTGTAGCATCCATGGGCAGTCAGGTTTCCTACGGTGCTTCCCTCGAGTCCCGGTGTGAACGTGCGCGGGTGCTTCCCGTACGCTGTGAACACGCCTAGAGTGACCATAAAATGTGGGTTTTTTTTCTAAGTTACGTGCAGAAATGAGGCCTGGGGAACTGGGGAGGGAAGGAGGCTTTGCTGGGAGTCTCCCTGAGGAGTGCACAGGAGTTTGGGGATGAGCCTGGCTCCTATCTGTGGGCCGGGGATGCACTTACTGCAGGCAAACAGCATCGTCAGCACCAGCAGGACCTTCATCTTCCTCTGACCTGGGCCTGGGAGGAGAAACAGGGCACAGGCAGCGTGGCCAGTTTGATAGGAGCTGCCGTGAGAAGCTTCCTCTGAAATCGGATCAACCCCCAGTATGTGGGGGGAGGAAAGCAGCTGTGTCCCCTCATATCAGCGTTGCTGCCTCCTGGCCGAGAAGCTGCCCCGCCACCTGAGCATCCCCCACCTGCTGTCCCACCCCTCCAGCCTTTCTCACCTCCCGTCCCCCCGCTTTTGGCCCCAGGGCACCTCTCCCCTCGCAGCGCAGCCTCGCACTGCGTTTCCATTTGGAAGCGATTTCTCTTTTCCTGCGGGCTCGGGCCGCTCCCGCTGCCTCCCCAGCATCCCCCCGTGCTTTTCCTTCCACAGCGGCGGAGCCTGGAGGGGAGTTCTCACCAGGGATCTTGCTCGCTGTCGCTCTGTCCTGCCGGGGAGAGCCTGCCCTCCGCGTCCAGCCCGCCAGCTCCAACTGGAAGCTCCAGAATGCCTCGTCTGGCCCAAACCCACGCAGTGCTACGCCCCCATCCCGGCCAGCCCCCCTCTCCCCGCGGGCTGCAGCCTCGGGTGACGCAGGGGCCGAGACCGAGTTCTTGCAAAGTTTTGGGAAGATGTCGACTGTTCACGGGGATTTCTCTCCCTGCCCAGCCGCAGCTCTCAGAGGAGAGGGGACGTTGAACAAGAACATTTATTTCCGCGTTGATCTGGTGTGGTCAGCGCAGGCAGGGATGAAGGGCGCTCCCGGCGGGTCCCGCATCGCAGCTCCCATCATCGGCACAGCTGGTTGGGGTAGAACTGGTAGAGTTTCTTGTAGCTCCTGGCGTTTCTCCTCAGGCACAGCGCCAGGCTGCGGTCGCACTCACAGGACAGGAAGGCGCACCGGGAGCCCTGACCTGCGGGACGAGGGGAGCCCAGGGTCAGCCCCGGCTTTGGGGGGGATAGCACCCCCTTTTCCCCTTTTCCAGGGCCCTACTCACTGCAGGAGAGCTTGCCATGGTGCCAGTTGTAGCGGTAGAGGCGTGTCTTGGCATCGCAGTGGTACTTCAGGAGGTTTTTGTAGCAAGTATCATGCAGCTGACAGCATCTGCACAGGAGATCGATGCTTTAGGGGATGCAGTTTTCTCCCCCTCACCCCACAAATTTAAAAATATTCGAGATCGTGTTAGGGCAGGGGGTTTTAAAGTGGATTCTCACCTGTCTGTGGCATCCTTGGGCTGCCCCTTGCCCCCCAGACCGCAGTAGCAACCATAGAAGCCGTAATACAGAAGAGCATTTTTCCCTGTCACCTCTGAGATCATCCGGTGCAGCTCTAAGAGGCTCCCCTGGGCTGGGGACAAGCCTGGAGCAGGGGAAATAAGGGAGATCACGGCGATTCCCTGCCCTGCCAACAGCAGCTCCATCCCTCCAGCCCCCAAACTGGCACCAGGGTGTTAGGAATTGTAATGCAAGGGAGAGGAAATGTGTTCCCAGCTTGGCAGGGGAGAGCTCTTGCATGTCTGGGAGAGCTGGTGATGGGGAGAGGTGGAGAAATCACCAGCCTGGTCCTAATTTCAATGGATGTAACTGCACAGAGAGCCTTGGGACTGCGAGAGGACACTTACCCCACACAAACAGCACGGAGAGGATGAGGAGAGAGTTCATCCCTCTGATGGCTCCGAGAGAGGAAACCAAAACATTCTCTGTTATAGTGACCATCTCCTTTCTTTCCTTATCATCCAGGAGCAGAGATTCTCCCTCTCTCCAGGGACTAGGAGCAAAGAGAGAAGTGAAGATGCCCCTGTTGTTTCAACACAAAGCATGAAGGATGGGAAGCGATGGGAATCAGACGGGGGAGAGGTGAGAAAAAGCATTATCAGGAGAAAAGGAGAAAAATTGGATGGTTGTTCAGCTTTTGGGGGCTGCACCCACTGTTCTTCTGTGCTGGCATCACAGGCAGCATCTCCTTCAATCCTGCTTCCCACTTGCAGCACAGCTTCTGGCGAAAGGAGGGAAAGAAGAAAATCAATCCTCCATCCCCACTTACCTTGTGAAACCCTGCTGGCTTGCAGTGCCCTGCAGCCAGCTGTGCTTGCTTTATAAAGCTTGCTCCCATCAGCCTGGGTCTGCTTTGACCCAGATCTTGCTGACTGGGCTTCCCTGGAAAGGAGAAGGAGCCATCCTTCCCTTTCCGAGGAATGGCAGAAATCCCCTGACGCCCCAGCTCCGTTCCCCGTGCACGGGGTGGGTCTGGGTGGGATGAGGTGGAAAAGCAGCGTCACTTCCAGCCTGAGGAGGAAGCAAACATGCTCTTCCTCAGTCAGAGATGCCTCCTCCTCTCCCTTCCCAGCACCAAGGAGCCACATTGGGGGGAAAAGAATAGCTCTGGTTCAGGCTGGGCATGGACACAGCAGGTTTGGGGCTTTCAAGGAGGTGTAAGGTGGTTCAAGGAGAGTTATCACTTCTTTGGGCAAAGTCTATGGGAACACTAAAAGCATCTCGAAACATGCAGTTCCCAGAGTCACAAGGTTGGGCAGACACTAGATGATTGCACCCTCACTCTCAGAGAAGCAAAATTAATATTCTGAGGTGAGAAAATTCAACTTCTCTTTATTTCTCTCTTGGTTTTTCCACCCCCTCGTTACACTGTCCTGCAGAAACCATTCAGTCATCAACTGCCCTCCTAAATTAGCACTTGCCTGATGTAAGTGGTCAAGGCTTTGAAATCTTCCTTCCTCTGTGGATGATTATTCTTTAACCCTTATTTCCAAGAGTCATGGAATCCCAGACAATTTTGGGAAGGACATTAAGGAAGGAAGGTGACTTGTCTGTGTCTTTTGTCTTGTGTGCTGGAAAAATAGGTTTTTTGTTGTCCTCCATGGACAAAGTTTTCAGCCAAGCCCTGATTCCAGCTTCGCTTTGTCTCTGGTGTCACAAGTGATGCTCCCTGGCTGGCATGTGCCTTGTGCTTTTCTGAACTGCTCATAGACCGTTAATGCTCCTCTGTTTAATTACTGCCTCGTTAATCATTTGCAATCAGTTTATGTACTCATGCTGTTTTCCCGCTTTTAGTGTGTTTGCATAACAAAATGCATTTCTATGAAGTGCTTTGTATGGAATTGTTTATAGCAGGAAATAGATATAAAAGAAGGGTTGTGTCATTCCTAGTAAAAATCCTCATGTGCCAGAAGCCAAACATCCCAGAAGATACTGGGGATACTCCTGTGAGCTCCTCCCTGTGCTGAGCTGTGGTTCAGCTTGTCCTGACTCTGCACAAGAGGAAGAGAAAAATGATACACAACTTAAAAACCCCTGTGATGTGAAGCCTCTTATTGTATTCCTGAGACTGTTTTGTTAGCGTTCCTCACAAAGCTGTTTGGATGTGCCTTCTGAGCTAGGAATTAGAAATTCATAGAATCCCAGAATCCCAGATTGGTGTGGGCTGGAAGAAGCCTTAAAGCTCATCCAATGCCCTCTGTGCCATGGGCAGGGACACTTTCCACTGTCCCAGGGTGCTCCCAGCCCTGTCCAGCCTGGCCTTGGGCAGTGCCAGGGATCCAGGGGCAGCCCCAGCTGCTCTGGGCACCCTGTTCCCCGAACTTCTATCTCCACATTGGGATAGACATGGGAATTACAGCCCTGTCGGGACCACTGAAGTTTTGTGGTGTCAGGCATATGGTGTGGCTGAGGGATGCAGAAGTGCTCCCCAACCCCAGCAGCCACTGTTGCAGTGCCTGAATCTCAGCAGCCCTTAACAGAAAAACACCGTGGAGAACCAGTTTGCATCCCTTTTATTGTATCTG